AGAAAATATTTTAAATAATCTAAACATAGATTAAAGGGTAAATGAGAAAGGTATATTCAGTAAATAAGTCACTTGACTGAACAGACAATAAAAATATAAAACTTTCTAAAATATTATATAAAAAATAAAATCAATTCGAAATAATAATTTAAACATTATCTTAGGAAACCCTCAAAAATTCTAAATGAATCAGATATTGAAATTTGATTCAAAAAAGAAAAAAAAAATTTATTTAAAAAATAAAATTTGTATTTCATATCATTGCTGCAAAAAAAATAAAATCGTTTAACTGATGTGATAAAGATAAAACATGAAAGCTATTTATCACAAAATATGTAGTATTTAAATATACATTCGATAGGAGTTTGTTGCTTTAGAAAGATATGAGTATGTGTGGTTTAACATTTAGTATGCTTATCTCTGCCCTTAACTGTAACACACGCACTCACACATGCATACACGACATACCGATAAAGTAGTAAGAGAGTTTTCTTCAAGGAAAAATCACCTATACCATGACAATTACTTGGGCACACGCATGGAATTAAGATCAAAGTTGAAGCTATTAGTTCCAAGCGAGTGGCTTCATGGAGCAACAATTACTAGTTACATTATAGTTATACATAAATGTATATGTATATGAAGTCGATGGATCTGTATTTCTGGAGCTGTGGGTACTGTTAATTAACACAGCACTTCATTAAATGGAATTCACTAAATTTTCACAAAGCCATGTTAATTAAAAGTGCCGTTTGTGGCATAGCTTCACCTCGCTCTACCTCTCACACAAGAGATACATATCTCTTTCGCACTCATGTCATGTCTCTTGCCTTTTTGCGCTTGATATATTTTTTACACAAATCTGGTTCTTGTATGTCTCTTTATTGTCGACTCTACGTCGTCGCTTCAAATGTTGTTTGTGGCTTTACAATTTTATCAGTAACTAAAGAAGCAAACTGCATCGAGTGGCAGGCAGAACGTAAACAAAACGCATTTTGATAGTCCGCACACACACACACACACACACACATGCATAAACAGTTTGCCCTGCTCACTCACTCGCTCTCACTCTCCCCATAGCTGTCTGCGGCTGCTTGTCTGGCTGCCTCTTTGTGCGCCCTGTATTTATTTATTGCGTGTAAATTTCGGGAGTAAACAAATACCCGAAAAAAAAACGAAACGAAGAGAAATACTTAATAATATCGCAGCTTTGCTTATTTGTATTTCCGTGACTGGAGCGCATGACGAATTGACAAATTGTTTGATGCTCGCTCGAGTGAAAATGTTGGAATGTGCATTTCAGTTGCGTTTGGTTCGTTTATCGTTTGATTCCCTTTTTTTGGTTACATAACGCAGAGCCACGCTACGCAGTAGCCGGCTCTGTTCTAGAGAGGGGGAAAGAAAAACTTCGCTTAGAGTTGTGTGAGAGTAAGCTCAGCTTACTCAATGCAAGCTTTAAATTTAGTTACTACACTCGCTCTCCAGCAGAAAGCGAGAGAGCCAGAAAGAGAGAGAGAGTGAGGCCAGATAGAGTGATTCAGTTATGCAATGCTCGCGCTGCGAAGAGCCGCACAAAACGCGCATACGAAAAAGCAACGCTGGCTACCTGCGCACCGCCCCTCCCTCTTTCGCTCCTTTTCGCCCCGTCTCCCTCTACCACATCGCTTGCTACATTACTGGCAATACTTCTACTTAAGCTTCTGCTGGCTTTGTCTGCGCGCAAGATTCTGCACATTTTACCGTTAGCTTAATGGCTAAATCACCGTTTAGAAACGCAAGAAGTTTTTGTTGTTGCTATTGCCGTTGCTGCAGCGCTTTAGTGTGGCGCGATTTCAGCGAAAATTCTCATGTCGAAAACGTAATTATAGTATTTCTTATATTTTTGCAGACGTGCTTAGATTTTAATTAAATTAAAATTACACTCAATTGCAGCGACGGTGAGCCTGGGAGCTAGTGTCAAAAGTTTGTTCCTTGGTTTTGTGGGGATCAAGCCAAACGGGGGCAGGCTGGAGCATTGAGACTTGGGGATTTATGCGTTGTCTCTAAGATACTCACAGTTATGTATGTGTGGGTGTGCGTGTATGTTAACACAGTGGGTATATATTTAACAGGTAAAGCAATCTGTTCTGTTTTACAAAATAGTAAGTTTGACATTCGAGAGAGAGTGAGAGAGCGTCTGTGCGTGTGTCTGGGAGTGAGTGTAAATTGATTTGTATTGCTGCACTCAAACTGCGTTTAGATTTAGGCTGGCTAAGCTTACATATGTATTTGTGTATGACGCATACAATTGTGTTCATGAAAATAGTGATACATACATAAATGTAGTAATGCTGAGTTTATAAATTGTTGAACCTAGGTTTTAATGAATATCTTCAATATAAGATAATGTATAAATTTTAAAATTAATATTCATTCTAATTTTTTATATATTTGAACTAACGAGCGATGAATTTTTGATAAAATATCTGCAGTTTTTATTTTTATATACAATAGGATGTATCGATATATTCGAGCAATTAATTTTGAATTAAGAAAAGTAACGAATTCTTTAGTTTAGTTTTAATAAATAGTATTATGCCAATTCTATATAAATTTGATATTAAAAATTCAATTTTGTTTTCTACATATTAAGCTTACAGTTTCGAAGCCCCGTTTTAATTAAAACTATTCCGTTAAATGTTTGCAGCTTTTCAACTTTATTAATTTCTCTTCAACTCCCTAAGAAACGCATTTTCCTGACAATTTAATCTAGTATTTTCCCCCCCAACTTGTTTATCGCTTGTCAACTGATAATCTTTCTGCAGAGCAGCCAAGCTGCAAATTGCGTGTTTTCTCATTGACTGCCACGCCCGCCACATAAGGAAAAATAATATATGGCGAGTTGATTATATATTTTGTTCACAACTTTTCAGACACGAAAGAAAACAATGCACTTGTTGTTGTTACGCTTTGTTTTAATCAATCAAAAGCCAGGAAAAAATATCACAAATGCAATTTACACAGAAGAAGAAAATATATAAACATACATATATGTATATTTATGTGACAGATATGAGATAAATAATGTATGTATGTATGTGTATGGAATATGTATCTGAAGGCGCCCACTCAAAACGCAACGAATAGCAACAATTATAAACAATGAGAAGCAACAGTAACAGTAACAGCAGCAACTGCAGCAAATGCATTATTATTATCAGTAAAAACACATGACAAAAGAATGCCCAGCTTGCTGGAGGGAGACAGCGGACAACGAAAGCGACAGAGATAGCAATGGAGATTATGCTTCTGCTTTTGTGCCACGCGTACAGGAAATTATATAAAACATGTTTTGCTGCTTCGGGGCAGGGCAATGCAACGAGCAACGAGCGAACAGTTGGGTGATGGAGTGTTGGCAAAAGGGATTGTGAGGGGGAGGGGGGGGGAGGGTGAGTGCCAAGGGGGAGCGCAGGGCGACACAGCCAAAGGCAAAAACAATAAGAGAAAACAAAACAAAACAGAAACAACAATAAAACGCAATGCAGTTGCAGTTGTTGTGCGTGCGTGTGTGTGTGTGTGTGTGAGCGAGTGTGTTCGCAGTAAATGTTGTTGTTTATTTAAAGCGCAAATACAATAAAGCATTCTCTCAACTCTCTCCCCTCTTTTACACTCTCTCTCACTCGCTCTCTTTGCATTTGTGTGCGAAAAAAATATATATGAAGCCACCAAGAATGCAGCAGCAAAATAAAAAAAGATGAAAAATAAATACGAAAATAAAAAGAAGAATTTTTTGTTTTGTTGGGTGGTGGCTGCATTGAGTATACGACACGTTGGCAACAAGGAAAAAATAACTCTCTCGCACACACACACACACACTCAGTCAGATACACATATGACAGCAGAATGCGTTGTCTCACATGCGGATTATGCAGCTGATGAGCTTACGAGAGGAAAGGACAAGCAAAGCAGATAAAGAAAAAGCCTCAACAGCATCTACTCAAACTCAAAGCACATAAACACACACACACATACATACAATATAGACACTCACGCATACCCAGAGCATATCAAGAGATCTCTATAGGGCTATGGGCTTAAGCATTCGCCTCTCTGCTGATTAAATATTGCAAGAAAATTTCTTTGGAGCAATTTAAAATTTTTTACTATTCTATAATTATATTACATATATTTTTAATTTTTTGATAAAGTCTATTTCATACCTTACAATTCTATAGTAAAATATGCTTTAATTGTAAATTGTATAGTTTATTGATTACAATTTTGAATAAAATGGACAATTTTGTATTGTTCAAATGCTGAAATTCAAATACATTAAATAAATAAAAATAAAATAAATATAAATAAACAAAAAGAAATATTATTAAACAAAT